GGAGGCTGAGGAGGAGGGAGGGAGAGGGGCCCTGAAGCCAGCCAGGGAAGGAGGGAGGGGCACCGGGAGACTTCTGGGAGCACTTTGAGGAACCAGCCTGCCCCCCGCCCTGGCAAGCCAGCCGCCCTCCCCTCCCTCAGACGCCACCTCCTTGCCAGGGTACCTAAGGCCTCCTCCGCTGCCCCACCCTCTTTGTGGCAAAAAGAGTTATGAGACAGTGGGGGGCCTCCCGGACCACCCCCCTCAAGCAGGGCAGCAGGGGCAGAACCTCCGAAGCAGGAGGGGACCTTGGTGCCCAAAGGACTGTTCTCATGGGAGAAGTACTGGGCAGCCTCAGCAGCGTGGAGCCAGTGCTTCCGGCGGGGCCTTCCCCCTTTAGCCCATGAGACAGAATGCTTCTCCCCATCAGAGGCCGCCCAAAGAAGCCGCCTCCTCCCCCCCCCCACCCTGTTTTATTTATTTATTTATTGCATGTTTACCCCACCCTCCCTGCGAACGGGCTCAGGGCGGCTTACACAGGGGCATAAGCCCATGCATAAAAACAATGTAAAACAGTAAAAACTATTAAATCACAATGAAACAAATAAAGTGCTCCGTACAAACAAGATGGTCTCTGAGGATGGTATCGATCATTTCCTTAGGGTGAAATTGTCCTGTTGATGGTCCAAGCCAGTCCAGCGGCATCAGTGCCATGCAAATTTATGGCTGTTCTTTCGGGGACCGCTACCAACCCCGTTGTTTCAGTGGTGGTAGTAGTAGAAGTGGTGGCCCCTATCTGAAAGTCTGGCGGAAGAGCTCCGTCTTGCAGGCCCTGCGGAACTACATAAGGTCCCACAGGGCCCTGATGTCCTCCGGGAGCTTGTTCCACCAGGTGGGGGCCGCCACAGAGAAGGATCTGGCCCTGGTTGCAGCAAGCTTTGCCTCCTGGGGGCCTGGAATCACCAGGCGGTGTTGTGTCCCCGACCTAAGTGCTCTTGGGGGTATATATGGGGAAAGGCGGTCCCTCAGGTAGGTCGGACCCTGGCCATATAGGGCTTTAAAGGTAAGTACCAGCACTTTGAAACGGATTCGGTATGCTATTGGCAGCCGGTGCAGCGCTTTCAGCCCAGGCTGGATGTGCTCCCACTTGGGGAGACCCATCATCAGCCTGGCCGCCACATTCTGCACTAGCTTCCGGATCTGCCCCAAAGGCAGCCCCGTGTAGAGAGCGTTACAGTAGTCTAACCTCGAGGTGACAGTCGCATGGATCACTGTAGCCAGGTCATCGCGGCTGAGGAAGGGAACCAGCTGCCGAGCCTGCCTCAGATGGTAAAATGCAGATCCGGCAGTGGCTGCCACCTGGGCCTCCATAGTTAAGGAGGGATCCAGGAGCACTCCCAAACTCCTAACCTCCGGCACGGGCACCAACGGCACCCCATCGAAGGTCAGGAGGGATCCCCAAACCGTGTCGACTCAGGCACAGGACCGCCGTCTTCGCTGGGTTTAGTTTCAGCCGGCTCAGTCTGAGCCACCCAGCCACGGCCTGTAGTGCCCGGTTCAGATCTTCTGGGTCAGAGCCCGACCGGCCGCCCAACATCAGATAGAGCTGGGTGTCATCTGCATATTGATGGCAACCCAGCCCATAACTCCTGGCAGTCTGGGCGAGGGGGCGCATGTAGATGTTAAACAACATCGGGGAGAGCACCGCCCCCTGAGGCACACCGCACTCAAGAAGGTGCCTCCGGGACCGCTGTTCCCCTATCGCCACCCTCTGTGTCCCCGACCTTGGAGAAAAGAGGCAAGCCATTAAAGGGCGAGCCCCTGAATCCCCACGTCGGCGAGACGGTGGGTCAGCAACTGGTGGTCAACCCTGCGGAGTTTGCTCTTTGGCATCGTCAAGAAAGGGGCAGAACAGGTTTCGTGTCTCTTTTCGAAGCGAATCAAACCTTTCCCAAGAAGTTTTTCTCCCCCCTCCAGAAGCAGGTAATGAACTAAGGAGACTTGCAGCCAGCCATGCGTGGGCAGGGTGCCAGTTGATCAAGCCGTTGCTGCGTGCCCCCCAAAACCCAGGCCCTCGGGGCCAGTCTTCAGAATGGAAGACGGGGCGGCACCTGGCTGCCCTACGCCAACTCCGCCACCAGCTTCCTGGCTCTTGGCCACAGGCCCGGATGCCCGCAGAACAGGGGAGGGCAACAAAACGCTGCCCCACACCCGCTGGCCGTCCCCGTGCAGAAAGGAGGGAGGCACTGCCAAACTTGGGGGGGGGGGCTGGCAGTGTTGCTAGTTGTTAGAACTGGGGAGGGGGAAATGGCAGGCCGTGTCCTCTTCACGGAGCCTGTTCACAAGAGGCTGAGAAATGGGCAGCTGGGGACCCGCGGACATACAAAGCGAGAGGTTCCTTCCCGGGGGCACCATCCAGGCACCCCTGGCGTGGGAAGCCGGATTTTGCTGGCCAAGAGTCACCCTACCCACAGGCAGCACATTTGACCAGGCACATGAGCACCACCGATCAGCAATACAACCCCCCCCCCCGCTCCGCCGTGTGCTGCCGCACCTGCTTGGCTGACACGGGCTCTGGCGGTGCCGGAGGAAGCCCCTCAGCTGGGCTGCAGCGGCTCCACATTGAGGTGCCCACCGCCACGGAGCCCCAGAGGCGCCCCTCTTGGCCGAAGGCTCCCCAGGCCAGGGCAGCCGGTTGTTGGTCTTACTCCACTTACCCCAGAGCTTCCGTGGGCACACAGCACACGTCTTCAGACACAGCGAAAGAGAAGTCAGCAGCCATTACATACAGGTGGGGAGGGGGTTCGTTTCCAAGAAGGGACAAGCCCTTCCTGGCAACTACCCCCACACACACACAGACACACACACCCGTATAAGGAGTGGTTGAGGAAATTCTCTTTCGCTGTGTCTGAGGACGTCTGCTGCGTGCCCACGGAAGCTCATACCTTGAGTAAGGCTTTGTTGGTCTGGAAGGGGCCTGACTGGACCCGAACTCTGTTCTTCTGCGGCTACTTACACCAGTTGAACTTCACGTGCAGCTTGGCTGGTTCGTTGGGATCCGCTTGCCGGGCCTCCCCCTCCACCTCCTTCACGGTGCCATCCGAGCTGAAAGAGGAGCAAGAGGGACGGAGCATTACGTTAGGCAGCACACACACACACACCCCCGGGGGCAGGGAAGGAGGGCCCAGCCTCCCCCCCCCCTTCAGCCGCCTTGAAGCCCTCTGTGCGGCTCCCGGGTGGGCCTCCGTCCCCAGCCTCTAGGACCACGAGAGGAAGCCTCCTCGCGCTCATGGCACCCTGGAAGGAACCGCAGCCATCTCCGTCAGGATTCAGTCACCGCACCTGCGGGGCTGCCCCTCTTGCACACGGCTGACGAAAAACGTGTGTGTGTGTGTGTGTGTGTGTGTGTGACACAAGGCCGCATCTTGGGCCAAGTGTTGAGAAAGCCCCACCGAGCCCTGAAGTCCTGAGCACCCACCCCCCACCCCGTGGCCGCCCTCCTCCTTGGGGCCCCCCCCCGTGGCCTCAGTCAGCGTCGGAGTCCTGCGCTGGGGGAGAAGGGCCCCCTGGGGACAAACGGGACTGATCCCCGAGGACTGCCTGCTGGTCGGCCCTGGAGACACCCCCCCCCCAACATCCACCAAGTTGGGCCCGGGGCGGGGGGGGGGGGGGCTGAACAGGGACAGGAGGCGGAAACGTGCTGGAGCAGAGCGCTGCCTGAGCAGGCCAAGAAGAGAAGTCACCAGGAAAAGTCAGAACTCTGTTCAGACGTGTACACAAAACGGGTGTGCAAATTGATCCCGCCCAGCTCTGCCAGGGACTCGCTGCCCTCTCCCACGCCTCTCCCCACACCCCCCCCACGGGGGCCTGCCAGGGAATGGATCCTGCCTCTGGGGTTCCTTGCAGTTATTGTGTGGGGAGCAGCACATTATTCTGGCACTGAACTCCGGGGGGGGGCGTGAAGGAGAAGAGGGGGCCCACAGCCTCACTCTCCCCACAGGATGGAAGGAAGGAAGAAGTCCCCTCAGCGGCCCCCACCTGGGGTCATCGCATCAGTCACATGCGCATGGGTGCTGAGGCACTGAAGCAGGCACATTTTGGACACTTGCCTGCTCTCTCTCTCACACACACACACACACCCCGATTCTACACACACACACACACACACACACACACCTTGGAGACACTTACAGAAGTTCTTTGTTCACCACTTTAAACTTCCCATTTTCCTTCCGGGAATAATTTGTCTGGAAACAGTTGCTTTGTTCAGAATTTGACAACAACGTCTCGATCACGTACCATTTCCCCAGATACTACAGAGAAAGAAACGTCGTGAGAGGGCCAAGAAAGCGGTGTGGCCGTGCTTTGGAGGGCGAGGGTCTCGAAGCTCCTGGCCAGTTCTCCCTGCCCCACATTCCCGCCTCACCCTTGTGCAAGTTGAGTGGGTGTGAGGCCCCCCCCCCCCGAAACTCCGGACGTGTCCCTCCTACCTTGGAGACATCAAACTCCTCCTGAACGGGCGGGTCTGGGCACTTCCCCATGTGGAAGGTTTGCCCCCAGGCCACGTGGAGACATCCCAGGAGGATGGGCAGCAACGCCAAGGAGCCCAGCATGGTGGCGGGCGGGAGCCGGAAGACCAACCTGGAAGGAAAGAAGGCCAGCTGGGTGGGCAGCCGGGGGTGTGGCGGGACGGCCTCCGGCCAGGCAGGTGAGCGAGAGCCAGGACCCCACAGGGCAGCCTTGCCCTGCAACCCCCCACAACAAAGGGCTCTGTCTGAGTCTGTGCAGAGAGGCAACAGGCGAGGGGGGGGACCCTCCATGAGCAGGAGGGAGAGGAGGAGGACTATCTTTACTATCATTATTGTTATCCCTACATTCGTGCCTTCCTTGGTGCGAACAGTAAACACCCCTGCCCACCCAATGGAAGCAGCACCCTCCCTTCAGGGAAAGCTCGCGTTCATTCGCAAATGCCGAAGCAAGAAGTTGACAAAACGGGGAGCTGGAGTCTCCTCCGGGGGCCTCTCCCAGACCCTTCCAGCCTTGCCAGGGGGGAGCCTGGCCACACCTCTCCTCTCCTGGGGGGCCCCACCACCACCACCTCCCTCTCGGTCCTCCTCAGCCGCCCTGTGCCAAGGTTGGCCAAGAACCGAAGCAGCCCTCGGGCTGGGTGAAGTTTCTCCCCCCCCCCTTTCCCTGGGGTTCTTATCCCAGGAAAAGGGATTTGGGGGGATCTGTCTCAATTCTGAGTGCCGGAAGGAAGATCCGTGTGTGTGTGTGTGTGTGTGTGTGTGTGTGTGTGTGAAAGAGAACGGGATCCTGTGGGTTTTTCTTCCCCCGTTCAGTCCCTCTCCGCCGGTGTCTGTCAGAGCCGCCCTTTTCTGACACTGACGGAACCGGCCAGCCTGGGCCCAGCCCCCTCAGCCCCACGCGTGCGATTCTGCCTCCCCCCCCCCACGTCCCCCAGTAGGCTTCAGCAAGCACCCAGAGATGGTGAGTGAGACTAACCTGCGCCCCATCTTAAAGGCAATCTGTTCAATGGTTTTACTTTTATCGTTACCACCTTTTAATGTCGTATTGTTATATGGTTTCATGATCGTTATACTATCTATCGCTGTTCTATCCTGTTGTAAGCCGCCCTGAGCCGGCCAGGGCATAAATGTAATTGATTAATTAACTAATAACTGGCCAGAACTCCTAGAAAGCACAGGGAATTGGGAACCACCACCGCAAGACGCGGAGAAGGACTGAGGCAGAGCCCTTGGGGCGGGGTGTGTGTGTCAAGGAGTCAATTGCTAGCTCATCCTAGCCTGACAATGGACCTCACCAGTTCCCAGCTTGGGAATGGGTCCAAGGCGGGGCCTGCGTGGGATTTCTGCCCTTTGCCACGTGACTCCAGGGCAGGCTTACAGCTTTAAAGATTTCCCTGCCGCCGCCTGGGAGTTTCCTTTTTTTGAAGCCAGTCGGAAGTCAGGGCTGCCGGCTCAAAGTCTGCCTCGCAGCCTGCTCCGGACCAGCCGCTTCCAAAGTCTGGAGAAGGGAGGTGCCACCAGTGCCACGGAGGGAAATGAGAAGCGATCCACTTCTGGCTGGCAAACGCTGAGATGAGCCCTGGATTCAGTTCCCCTCTCAGCTCCATCGATCGCCACAGCCCTGGCCCTGCTGTCCTGGGATATAACTTCTGGATCTCACTTCACCCTCTGTTATTCTGCAGACACATCCTGTCAGAACCAGCTTCCCCTGTGGCTGTGCTGTGAGGGAGCACAATAGTCTTCGTGGCAGCATCCATCATCCATCCATCCGTCCGTCCCCCAGAATCCTCTCCCCATCCAATCTGGAAGGCAGGCATCGGTCCGGCAGCCCCCTATCCCCTTCTCGCAGCACGTGGCCGTGGCTGGCAGCAGGACAGAGGCAAAGCACTCCGCCTCCGGCATGCCAGAGCCCACCCCCCACCCCCCAAGTCCCGTGGGCCTTCCCTCCGTCCCACCGTGCTTGAGCTGGGAGAGGCTCACTCGCTGGGCGCGCAGAGCACCGGTGTGGCCTACCTTGACTGAACAGGCGCCCTTTGGGGTCCTCCCTCCTGTGGAGCTTCGCCAGCTGTGCCCTGGGCTCTGCAGCGAGGACCCTTTTATAAGCACCCTGGGGACCAGGGTTAGTTCAGTGCCCCCACAAGCCACGCCCCCCCCCATTCATGCATTTGTTTATCGGAAGGTGGTGCCCGGTGCCAAGCTGGGTTGCCCAGTCATCTGCCCGGCCGGCCATGAATCTCTGTCCAGAGCACTTCCCTCCCGCCCTCCCTGCGTGACTGACTCTGCTGTTCTCAGAGGAGGCCGTCTGCTGTCCCCACCCACAGCCTTGCCGGTACCAGGCAGCCATTCAGAAAAACCCAGTCCCGCCCGGCCCTTGAGCTGGCTGGCCCCCCCCCCCCGGCTTTCTGGGCCCGCTGAAGGGGTGTGAAGCCCCCCAGGGCAGAGGCCGCAGCAGCCCCACCCCCCATGCTGGTGAAGTGCTGGGCACCCTTGCCAAGGTTCAGCGTCACCCTGGGGCTGGGACGGTTCATGCCTCCTCCTCCTCCTCCTCCTCCCCTGTGCCAGGCCCTCTCCCCCAGCGGGGGTCCCTCGCCGGATCCGGGAAACTCCAGCTCAGGCCGCTGCACCCTTCCTGGGGGCTCAAAGAAGCCTAAGGGAGCTAGGCCGCGTGGCGTGGGTCTGGGACGCCCCCTTCCTGGCCCGGGAGACTTTTATGTCTCTGCAGACAGGTGGTCTGCTTCCCCCCCCCCCTCACACACCCCCCCCCC